GGACTGTTAAATACTCACTTGTCTATCAGGTACATCATAACTACAAGCTATTTGGGGTAGGGACTATTTACGTATTTCCTGCAAAGCAGGAAGACAGCGTTTAAAGGAAAGGGCACTGGATTTAAGAATGGGAGTTCCAGGGTTCCACACCCAGCTCTGCTGTTTACTCATTGTGATACCTTGAACAACTCAGTTCCTCTCTTTCTTGGCTTCCCATCTGTAAAATGGAAATAGTATTTACTGAATCTACCTCACTAAGGTATTGAGGGGATTAATAATAAATGCAGGAGTTAAATTCACAACAGATGTACAGACGCAACATGTAATTTTCAACACGACCAGTTTCACAGAATTAAGTAAAACATACTTTAACACTTCTGACTTATGATGCAGCTCTCTGATCCAACTCCCAATATGTCACCAGTGAAGACGAGTGGCAGAAAAGCAACAGAAGCCATCCTCGCTATAAGTCTAAGATACGTTCCAAAAAAACCTTGGATTTATAGCGCAACAACTTAAAGCAGGAATTTTTTCCCCCGTGCTGACTTCCATTTGTGCAAATTGGAGGTTTTTTTGTGCAACTTAAGAGTGGGGAATGGGAGGACTTATAACACATCAGTTCCTACAAGCGTCAACAACTTCAGTGCAGAATAGATGTATACCGGGGTGACTTATAGCGGGGATGCCCTGTATACAAACCCCTTATACACAGAGGCAATCTGAGTCTCAATTAACATAATATACTCACAGAGAAACTTTCATTCTTAACAAAAAGGTGTAATAATCTCATACATTTAGAATTATGACTATCATGATGTAACTGTAGGGAGAACATGGAATTCCTAATAAATTACTAAGTAATTCAAACTGTATTCTCATAATAGGTTATCTAGGACTGCGATGCCCAAAGGTGGACCATGATGCAGCACTATGGGTACGTCTAGACTACACGCCTCTGGCAACAGAGGCATGTAGATTAGACTACCCAGCATAGGAAAATGAAGCGGCGATTTAAATACAGGCAGTCCCCGGGTTACGTACAAGATAGGGACTGTAGGTTTGTTCTTAAGTTGAATTTGTATGTAAGTCGGAACTGGCGTCCAGAGTCAGCCGCTGCTGAAACTGACCACCAGTTCTGACTTACATACAGATTCAACTTAAGAACCCCAAGCGTCCCCAAGTCAGCTGCTGCTGAAACTGATCAGCGGCTGATTTCAGGA